TGGTTTAGATACTCTTAAATATGGTGATGGGTTTCCGTATGTGTCAAACACCCGGCTGACTAAAAAAAATTGTCAAGCTCCGCGTGATGCGTGTGAGCAGAAGGCAGGGCTTCCTATGCCATGTGTACAACACACCAAGAGCTCAGCTTTATCTGGGGTTTGCGGCTTTTGCTGCGCCATTCTACAGTCAAGCCTAGAATACAGCTTGGAGGTCTTGTGTTTGTTCCGTCCCAGCCCCAGAGCTGCCTGTCACTCTCCAGTCAACTTGTCTCGGTCACTGAGCTCAAATCAAATCAATTTCAGCAGCAAAATGAAAGGTCATGCAGGGGTGAGGTGTCCTGTCTCTGCGAGAGGGACCGCTGATATGGAGCTCTTCAGCTGACATGATGAGAGCTGCATTGATGCTGGTTGTAAGGTGGGGGAGGGGATTAGGACTGTGTGTGGGCTGTGCGTAACAATAACAGTAATCTTCCCACTGTCACCCAATCTTTTATGTCAAGATTGTCTCAAAGGGCTTCAGAAAGTCTCTGTAAAATGTTAATATATACTAATAATAATCCTTGCATTTTATACAGCACCTTATCAGGTCATTGAGACTTCTCAAAGCACTTCACAGAATCTATTGAAAAGTGGATTGACTGTATTTTTGTGGGCGAAACATGACAGCCAATTGCGCATAGCAGTGTTCTAAACAATCTTCGATTGAGTGACCACATTTTTTTTTGGAGGGATTATTACCCCTGGAAAGCGATCCACCAATCGACTAACAAACAGGTTCCTTCTTACTGCTAGGCAAACAGGGGAGTAAGGAAACTTGCCTAAGGTTTCGTCTCGTCCAAGAACCGAACCCAATGCTTTCGCTTGACAGGCAAGCAGGCTAACAACTTTGCTACAGGACTCCATGAAGTGGTGCAACAGCTGTGAATATCAAGCACTTTGAGATGTCCTTCTGATGTGAATTACTCTATATGAATAAAAATAATGTCATTTTGCAGGTGAATGCAACAACCAAACAGCCACGAAGTGAGTGAACAATTTTGTCCAGGGGATTGTCGAGGGAGAAATTCCCTTCCGTTCTTGCGAACACCTGAACAAGCAAAGAAGGGACTTTGATTTATCATCTCATCCAAAGGATGTAATCTTTGACAACAAACCTATCGCCTCCTCCCCTCATCCCCCCGCCTCCCCACCGTACTGCACTGGGGTGTCAGCCTAGATTGGGAGCTTGGACTTGAACCCATGACTTTCTGACCCCGAGGCGAGTGGGTGACCGACTGAGCCACCTTTTCACAAATAAATGGGAAGAAGGAGAGGGCTAGAGGCCGCAAGTGTGCAAGGCTGGACATTAATAAGCCTAGGATTCTGGCTCTGGACTAAGAGATATTAAGAGTTTGGGGGAAAGCATAGGAATTGGGATTAAAAGATTTACTGAGATCTAATACATTGGAGAAACTGGCCCAATGGGCTGAATGGCCTCTTTCTGTTCCTATGTTCTTAGTGTTTTTCTGTTCAGCCAGGTATCTGACACACGCGGAAACCCATCACATTTCGTAAGAGTTTCCAAACTAAACTGAGAATTCCACGCATCCCTCCCACACAAGGAAATTCCACGCATAAATTGTTGGAACTCTGTGCTTGCAGGGTTAACAGGAGCTGAGTGGGAAGAGTCCCTTACCCCAGTGACTGATCTAACCCTCCAAGTCCTGCCGATGAGCCAGGCTGGCTGTGCTGTCATCAGCAAGTGCCCTGGAGTACTGCAAACCTGTCTGGCTCAGGAAGCAGACTAGAGACTGTCACAGAGGGCGGACTCGATTCTGATATTCTGTTGCCGATCACGTCACCTTGAAGAAAGCTTCGCTCTGAGGAGACCTCCGCCCTGTCATAGAAACATAGAAATATAGAAATAGGAGTATGCTATTCAGCCCTTCGAGCCTGCTCCATCATTCTATAAGATTATGGCTGATCTGTACCTCAAATCCAATTACCTGCCCTTGCCCCATATCCCCTGATATCCTGACCTAACAAATAGTCATAACTTGTAAAGACAATAATCTGGAATCAATCTCCGACCATTCTCATCAGTGGACGGGTATGCAAATGCAGACAGCCATCAACCGGCGGTGATTGCCTGCTGTGGTAGCTAAATTGGGTCTGTTTGTAATAACAGCTGTTTTGATCATCCATCCACGTAGCCCTTCCATCCTGTGCTCTCACAGCCCTCAGCACTGACGGATTTAATGAGGTCTCAGCGACTGCAGGTCCCATTTGCTTTCTGCTCAGCTTGGGAACAGGACATGGAATCAGTGTGGAGACTTTAATATTGAAGCCACCACAACAACTACACATTAATAGCCTTTCACGTCAGGTGGACATCTCAAAGAGATCGATCTTGAAGTGTAGAACTTTACAGCACTGAAGAAGGCAATTCGGCTCAACAGTACATCCTGTGAGGCACTTTGACATATCCTCCCGACATGAAAGGCGGTGTATTTAATGTAAGGTTATAATAATTGTTGTGTCTTTGCTGCTCTTTGAAAGAGCAATCCATTCAGTCCCATTTACCTGCCTTTCCTCCCAAATCACTGCCAGTCTACTTTTTAAGATATCAGTCTCTTTGGTGTCAGCCTGGCTCGGTTGATCGCACTCCTGCCTCGTGAGTCAGAAGGTTCTGGGTTCAAGCCCCCATGTCAGTAACTCACAGTCCAGGTGACCATGCCAGTGCAGTGCTGGAGGGGTACTGCGTGGTCAGAGGTGCCGTCCTTCAGATGAAACGTTAAACCCAGGTCCTGTCTGTGCTGTTCAGGTGGACGTTAGTTATCCCGTGACTCTACATACAGAGGAGGGAATTTCTCCCAGGTTGACTAGGCCAACAATCTTTCAGACAAAAAGCAGGGAATGCAATGAGATTGGAGAGCTCCAGTGGAGAATATAGACCATGGTCACTCCTTTGCAGACATTGAGCCCTGCTTTCTGACCCCTGTATTCTGCAAAGTCATGTGGCTGATCAATTTTATCACTTGCTCCAGGGCAGAGCAACATATCACACATCGACACAACAGCCTGCTTACAACCCTTCATTTGCTCCTCCAAACATCCGTCCATCCCAATCCCAACCACAGAGCCCTACTCTTTTTCTGTCCCCTCTATGCCTTCCTCTCCCTGTGCCTGTCCAATGCTTTTTTGATCCTAATCAGCTCTGCTCTGACAGCTGCCCATCAAATCATTCTACATTTTGATAAACCTCTCCTTTTATTGAATGCAAAATACTTCAGATACTGGAAATCTGAAACCAAAACAGAAGTCGCTGGGAACCTCAGCAGGTCAGGCGGCATCTATGGCGAAAGGAAAGTGAGTCTACATTTCGGGGCTACGACCCATTGTCAGAACTGGGGCATGTGTGCGAGGGAGAGGACTAACAGAGAGGGGGGAGGCAGGGCAAGGAAGACACAGGAGAAAATGGGGTAGAGGTCAAGGGATCCTGTCATCCCCTGTTTTAACAAAGGGTCGTGGACCTGAAATGTTGAATCATTTTCCTTTCTCCATAGATGTTGCCTGACCTGCTGAGTGTTCCCAGCGACTTCTGTTTTTTCTCCTTTACTGCCTGAGTCATAGTCTTGAATTCAGAGCTTCTCACTTCAAATCCCAAAGATAACTTTGCTTCGCACAGCATCTTTCTTGTCAGATGAATGTCTCGAGGGGCATTAATTTCCAGATTAACTGGAAACAAAGTGAATGTTTTTTTTCTCGAAAACTTATCTACATCAGCCACTTCCTCGCAAACAATAGTCCATTGTGTGTTAGGCTGGCTCAGTCTCCAAGTCAGAAGGCTGTGGGTTAAAGCCCCACGTCAGGATTTTTAACTTACAGTCTAGACTCATTACGGGGCAAGGGGTGAGACCTGGTGGTCAAGGTATTAAGAGAAAGTGAAAGGGCGGACTGAGAGGAGAACCAACAGAGAATGGGAATTAATCACCGCAGGTCTTACATTTCATTGCTGCAAAGCCCCTCTCTAATTCACTGAGATATCAGTGTTCACCTGCAAAACACAGTCACTGCACATTTTGGTAAGTCATGTGAGGCGCTTTGAGACACCGCCTGGCCTGACTTCCCTTTGTTTTGGACCCTGAGGATGCTATAAGAATAAGTGACAGGGGAATTAGAGGCTACAGGAAGACATTCACATCTGAATACTCCCACAGGAAATAAAGAGATTAGTCCAGCCCTGGCGTCAATGCTCACTCTGGGCAGACTCAGCATGGGCGGGGAAGCAGGAAGTGATGTCATCGTGACCTAATGACCGGGGTGAACACATGTGAGTTTCATCAGGTCACTCGACTGAGAGTGCGTAACAGCCGAACCTGACCTCTTCCCACTCAGCTGCCACCCGTCACACATAATCTGCAGCGTGTGTTGTAGACGACCAGGAGCAATAAACCTGTCTTATTTTACCCTAACCCCACACCCCGACCTGGGGAAGTCAGGCCAGCAAACTCTGTATGGAATGGATTTGAACGAGCTAGCTAAGCTCTTGGTCTGTAAACCATAGCTCTGTCAGCGTGGATTTGGTGGGGGGGAGGGTGGGTGGATATGGAGGCACCACAAATGAATCACCTAAACGGTGCCTCTCACAGAACACATGATAAGGAATGTTCTTCAGTCAGAACAAAGGGTGAAGACACGGAGGCAACCCATTCAGGTCCATTATCCTGAGCGATGATGTAGGAATATCCCCACGGATAGACACGAGCAACAAATGAGTGGTATTGGGAAGGGGGCGAGGGGAAGAAAGTAAAGAGTCTAAATTGCGAGCTGGGTTCATAGCTCAAGGGCTAATTATGAAAGAAACACCAATAGAGAGGATCCCAAGTAATATCAAAACCCTACGTTCTGTGCGTGTTGGCGGGGCCAACGATGTGACCATAGATATTAGCCCTTCATTTATCACAGCACTTCACAGGCGCATGAGCAAAGGAGAGTTGGAAGCCAGTTGAAAGCCTTACCTTTTCCGTTGACTGCGCTGTACCAAAAAATATTGGAATAAAGGCTAACCAAATGATACACGTGGTGTACATTGTAAATCCAATGGGTTTGGCTTCATTGAATGTCTCTGGGACTCCTCTGGTTTTAAATGCGTAGACAGTGCATGTGACCATCAACAGAATGCTGTAGCCCAGAGAGCAGATGAGGGAGAGGTCTGAGATGTCACATTTCAGGATGCCCCTGGCCTTTTCGGGGTCAATTGTCCGTTGCTCTCCATAGTCCACAATGGTGTGAGGGGGGTCTACGGCGAACCACACAAACACGCCCAGCAGCTGGATGGAGATGAGGCTGAAGGTGATGGCCAGCTGGGAAGCTGGGCTGATGAACCTGGGAGCAGTGACTGACGTCTTTCCTTGCTCGAATATTCGGTGGATGCGGTTGGTCTTGGTGAACAGTGCCGCGTAGCTGATACACATGCCCAGCCCGAGGAAGACGCGGCGGAAGGAGCAGAGGACGGTGTCGGGGGTGGCAATCATGAGGAAGGTCACCAGGTAACACAGGAATATTCCCGTCAGCAGGACATAGCTCAGTTCCCGACCGGACGCCCGGACGATGGGTGTGTCATTGTGCCGGACAAAGGTGCCGATGACAAAGGTGGTGGCTAGGATGCCCAACATGGCGATGAAGACGGGGACGATGGCCCAGGGCGAGTGCCATTCCAGCTTGATGATAGGAATGGGATCGCACCCCGTGCCATTCTCGTTGGGCTTCTTGTTGAAGTGGCACATTTCGCAGGTCAGCTCGTCCACCTGGTACTGATAGGCTTCACAACGCTCGCACTGCCAGCAGCAAGGAACCCCCTTCACTGTCTTCATCCTCTCCCCGGGCTTGCAAGGCAGGCTGCACACTGACTGCGGGATAGCCAGGTCCCCTCCACTCCACTTCATGTCCTCCATCTGCAAAGCCCAATGACATAGGGTTCAAGGATCCCGAAGAGACACAATTACTTTTTTGAGGGGAGAGGGGAGGAGATGCATCGGCACGGATACAAAAGGGGAGAAAAGGGGGTAATCAAAATATTAACTGCACTCCTGGGAGGCAGGAGGTATACCTGGAAACGTTCCAAGCTGACCCCAAGGTTTCACCGGGAAACCTACAGTAACTACGCTTACCTCGAAGCACTTTAAGATGTATCAAGATTCCATGCGCTGTGCAAATGCAGGGATTATTACTACCATGTCTTGACATCGAGTACTCGCAGCACCACAGAATTATAATAATCCTTGCATTTCATATGGTGTCTATCATGCAGGACTGTCTCTGAAAAGCGTAGTGACTGTAGTGAACATGGCAGCTAATTCGCACACAGCAACGTCCCACAGCCATGGAGTGACCAAATTTATCTGGTGGGTTGTCAGCCAGGACACCAAGAGAGAGAAACTGCCTTCTCTTTATGAATAGTGTCCATGGGATCTTTAACGTCCACCTGAAGAGAACTTGTTCAATGCATCATCTGAAGGACAGCACCTCTGACAATGCAACACTCCCCAAGCACTGCATTGGAGTGAACGCCAAGGCTGAGATACTCAGTAGCGTATGTGGATTAGGTACCCAGTGGTATATAGTGTGACCCAGTGTGTGAGGCATGTAGCTGTGCGCTGTCTTACGTGCAGGTGGAGTTGATCAGTCCACTGGCCGATGATCTTGTACTCATGGAGTGACACGTTGGTCACCTGATATTGGAAGATGTCATACCGGCCGGGGGCATCTCCGTTCTCGTTGAATGTCACCGGGGTGCCAGCACTTCCTGTGAATCACAAACAGAGAGAGCTGGAAAATAAAGACAGTCCTCTTTACTGCGCAGTGTGTCTTACACTTGGCCAGCTTCAGGCTCGCAAGCAGAGCTTGGATAGAAACATGTGAGGACACTTTGGTAACAAATAGTAATAATGACCTTGAAATATGATGCAGCGCCTTTCACATTAGGAGCACATCTCAAAGCGCTTCACAGGATTCACTTTAAAGTGTAGTGACTGTGGACAAACTGTTACGGTTACCCTATTCTTGCAGTCTTTTGTAATGTGTAAATAATACGTATATATAACTATATAATAATATTTAAGAGAAATGGGCAAGCCTGGCCCTTGAAATAGGTTCTGTAAGATTTCAAATTACAGAAGCTGCTTGGGGCACAGAGTTAGTAAACAGCGGACATCAGTTTGCAACAAGGTATAGATCCAGTCAGCTAACAAGAAGTTGCAGCGTAAAATAACACATGGGCGCTAATGCGGGAAAAAACTCGCATTCGTATCATACGGTGGGTGGAGCCACATGCATATATAAGGCATCGTTTGGCACTCCTCATGGTCGTTAACTAATGGTCATCATTCAGTGTGACTGATGTGTACAGGCTACTGTACAGTCAGGGTTGGTTTTATATTCCTTTATAACGGAATATTGTGCTGCCAGTTGTTAAATTATATGTGATTGTTATGTTTGTTCCCATTGCTGTATATCTTCCATTGTTGTGTTCCTTATGTGCAGAGTAGCCTAGGGTTGCTAGGTTTTAATAAAGAGCTTGTTTCCACCAAATGTATCCTCGAGTCTCTGTAGTATTCTAGACAAGAAAAGGATGGTAATTGTCAACATCGGCGGTCTACTAGTGCGAGCAGACTCCGATTCGACATTCCAGTTACCGGGCATTGGGATTTAACTGGGAATACCTGTCTGTGTGTGTGACTCTGACTTGGTTGAGTCAACTTTGAAATAGGGACTCAGACCGACAGGGATAGGAGAGAAGCAGATGCCACTTAGTACAAAAGCACTAATAACATTTTCACATACATCAAGGGGTGAGAACAGCTGCAGAATACAGAAAATTCCCACAAATAGTCATAAAGTAAATGATCTAATTTTACCCGGGGGTTGTCAGTGAATTCACCAGGAAAGAGAAACTCCATTCTCTTTTACAATCATGTCATAGGATCTTTATAGTCCACCTGAACAACAACAACTGAATAAGTGTCAATGTATGATTGTGTAAGTACGTGTATGTGTGTGGGGTGCGGATGAACTACTGATTACTCACCGCTGAAGTTCACGGTGCGGATGAACCTCAGAAGCTCTTTACCGTCCATTGAGCTCATTATGGGGCAGAGCCCGATGAAGCCAGGACACAGCTCACGGTGCATGTTGTGGAGAGCATGAGCCATGGCGTATACGGCGTCGATGACAAACTGCACCTTGCCCTCCTGCTCGTAAGACGAATCTCTTCCAATTCTCTCCAGACCTACAATCAAAATACATTGTTGCTCCATTCAAAAAAGGCTTCTTCCTCTTACAGCACATCAACAACAAATTGCATTTATACAGCATCTTTCTTGTTGGGAGGACGTCACAAGGTGCTGAACAATGAGGGGTTTGCACCCAAGCTGTGGATTGGGTCAGAGAGGGGTGAGGGCAAGGGGGAATGGTGGAGGGAAGATGACTGAAGGCAGGGGCGAAAAGGAGTTTTAATAGATTGCGGATTGCAGGAAATATCAAGACTGGGAGAGCTTTAAAAGTGATGACGAGGATTTTAAACTCGATCTTCTGGGGAATGGGGAGCCAGTGGAGCCGACGAGGATGGGGGTAATCAGTTCACAATGTTTAATGTGGGAGAGGACACAAGCTGCAGAGTTGTGAATAATCTGATCTTATGGGGGGAAGAGTTGGGAAATCAAGTCGTAAAATCAAAGCTGTGAAACGATGAAACAGAGCCTAAAACATCATAACGGCAAACAGTAATGTTTTTTGTAGACAAATATGGCAGCCAATTTGCGCACAGCCATGCCATAAACAGCCGTGAAGTAAATTTTATCTGGAGGATTGTCAGCCAGGACATTGGGAGAAACCCCTTCTCTTTTTCAGTAGTATCATAGCATCTTTAACGTCCATCTGAAGATGCAGACGGGATCTCGGTGACAACAACAACAAAATTACATTTATAGAGCGCCAGTCAGGGGTCAGGACCCGAGCATGAGGAAGGGGTGGGGTAGGGGTGAGGGAAGGCAGAGAGGTGGGAGGGCGACCGAAGGCACGATTGAAGAGGAGTCTTGAGTCCAGCTTTGAAGGAGACAAGGGAAGAAATGAGACAAAGAGACCGTGGGATGGAATTCCAGAGTCTGGGGACAGAGAGGCTGAAAGCTCGGCTACCGATGATAGGGCAGGTCGAGCAGGAGACATGGAGCAGGCCGGAGCCCGCTGAACGGAGGGAGCGGGCAGGTTGGTAGGGAGTCAGCAGGTCAGAGAGATAGGAGGGGGTAAGACCGTGGATGGCCTTGTAGGTGAGGACGAGGTTTAACATTTCATCTGAAGGACAACACATCTGACAATGCCACTCTCCCCCAGCACTGCACTGAAGCATCAGCCTGGACTATGTGATTCCAAGTCCTGAGGGAGGATTTGAACTCACAACCTTCTGACTCAGGGAGGAGATTGTCAGGATCATCTCTCACTCTCTCCTCCCTTGCTCAGAACCTGGCATTGTACTAGGTGTGACCTGACCAGAGATGGACACAATACTCCAGGTGTAGTCTGATCTGCTGTCAAGCAAAGCCAGAATAAGGGGTATGAGTGTGAGTGTGTGAGTGAGGCTTGAACCCATAACCCAAGAGATGTGGTGTGTTGGTGAGGGGTGAGTGCCAGTGACTCCTCAGTGAGCCACACAATCGTCCTGCTGAGCTGCTCGGGATTTACTGACAAAACTGGATCAGGAATCTCTCATTTTACACTAAACTCCATTCACCATCGTTCCCTCTGAGTCTCATTTCACTCTTGCACCATTGAGATTTCCCTCCTCATCTCAACACAGAGCAGCTGCTGCTCAGTCTTACAGTGCCGGCTCGCAGAGCCCAAAGGAGCATTCCTCAGAGGCCAATCACGGCAATCACACAGCAGCCGGGCTCCAAAACACCTGTGTTTAATGACTCGTGCTGTCTCATTTAATGGGACACGTGTGTGTGTGTGTGTGTGTGTGTGTGGTCGCACCTCGTACACAGCCCCATGTGTTGGTCAACGCACGCACATACAGACCAATACACAAATACAAACACACAGAGAGAGAGAAAAAAAAGAGTCACACAGACAGAGAAAGACACAGTCACGCAGAGAGAGCGAGAGACAGACAGACAAGAGGGACAGAGATCAACAGAGATAGAGAGAGAGACAGAGGTGCACACATGCTCAGAGAGTATGACAATTAAGGAGAATAGAGAATAGGTGCGGAAATGGGAATAAAACAACACGATCTGGTGTGTTGGCCTATCTGTGCTCTTGGCGAACTCACTGAATTTCACCAGAGATAAAGTAGAGAGCAACAAGACTGCCAGTCGCAATTCCTAATAAGATAACACAATTCAATTTGATTCCAGCAAATCGCACCTTTTGTGTCAGCCACAGTTTGGTACAAATTGAATTCCTGAGACCTCTTTCACGGATGAGCAGATTACTGTAAACTCTCCAGTGAGTGTAGCGATGTTTGGTGTTTCTTAATCAGAGGATTGATTCCCTCTATTAATCCCATCACAAGACAGAGTGCCGGTAGTTATTGACATTCTTAAATTAATTCATCAGCAAGTCTGAAAATATTGTGAATTTGATCTCCCCGCCCTCACCCCATTGCCTTTCATAGTAATAATAATAATAAACATGTAGTGTTATTGGTGTGGCTATAAAAATATGGAACTAGAAAAGATTAGGAAATCTATTGATGTACAATTGAGTGCAGACGTATGTGGCAGCATAAACATAGTTCCTGTAATCATCGGTGCAACTGGGACTGCTAATACGCCTATTCAGAAATGGCTTGACAACAAAATATCAACCTCCTGCAAAAGAATTTTAGGAAGCTCAAAAATACTAAGAAAAGTAACATAAAAGTAATATGTAACATACATATTAGTGTTATTGTGTTATTAGTGTTAGGCAGTGTTATTGGTCTGGCTGACCCAGCCCTGAAAATGATTGGCGGACAGGACTTCAGCCTTTCTGACCCACCCACCTTCAGCCTTTCTGATCCACCTCGCCCGATTGCTCGCATCCTTCAAGGACTGTCTCAAGACCTTCCTCTTTGACCATGCCTTCAGTCTCATTCCCACCCTCAACCCACCCCTCACATCTCTTGGTTCCAACCCCCAGCTCAGGTGCAAACCTTTAACTGTTCATCACCTTGGGACGTCCAATGTGAAAAGCGCGACATAAATGTAATTTGTTGTTGTTGTTGGCTATCTTTCTCTCTTTCTGTCTTTCTCTCTCTCTATCTTGGGGTCTCTTTCTCTGCCCTTTCTGTGGCTCTCTCTATCTCTCTGTTTCGCTCAGTCTGCCCTGAAGTCTGTCTATCAGTCATTCCTGGATTATGCCCTGTTCTCACTCTCCCCTGTTCTCCTGTACAAACCATCTTTCTGCTTGGCAGCCCCTGAACAAATAACTCCATAAAATGTTTCAAAAACAAGGCAAAGTCAAATGAATAAGGACAGCACCATTCTCACCTGAGACCATCCAGCCTACACCCGTTCACAAAGCCCACTTGCACTGGGGGGGCAAATGAATGCCAAGTGGATACAATTTTTCAAGTGCTTATTGCCCCAGATTAAATATTACAGTAAAGACACTCCTGACATCAGAACAATGCTGGTATCAGACTGTCTTAGCTGCTCTCTCTCTCGTTTCTGAGTCAGAAAATTGTGCATTCAAGCCCCACGTCGGAACTTAGAATCACATAGTCTGGCTGACACTCCCGTGCAGTGCTGGGGGAAGTGCTGCATTGTTGGAGGTGCCTGGGGTCCTTTGGATGGGACATTAAACCAAGGTCCCATTTGTGTCTGTATAGGTAGACATTAAAATTGCCGCGGCACAATTCGAAAATTGAATAGCGTTTCTCTCTCCTGGTGTCCTGGCCAACAATTTTCCAGGTAAAATTGGTCACTCATTCCACGGCTGTTTGTGGAACATTGCAGTGCACTTATGGGCTGCTGCATTTTTCACTTCATGGATCATAGTCACTGGGCTTTACAGGTGAAGCACATTGAAACATTTCGATAATGTGAAATGGTGCCAAGAGCGAAGGATTGTTGTTAATATTCCCGATTAAGCACCTCATCCCAATATGGTTGTGACATGGTGAAGGGCTGGGATAAATGCAAGTGTCAATCGATAGGAAAGAAGAGAATTGATGAGAATGATGAGAAGAAACTGCACAAATGAGGGAAGTGGGAGAGCGGAGCATGAGGACAGGTGAAATCTGATAAAAAATAAAATCTGGGACTTTTCAGATCGGGAGGACTTCTCAAAGCGCTTCATAGGATAAGCTGTGAAGTGTAGTGACTGTCTACGTTTAGTTGAACATGGCAGCCAGTTTCCACACAGCAATGTCCCACAAACAGACACAAAGTGAGTCATCAATTGTTGGTGGGGCAGGGACACTGTGAGAAGCGTCTTTCACTTTTCCAATTGTTCCGTGGGATTTTTGATGTCCAACTTGGACAGGCACACGGCATCTCATCTCATCCTAAGTATGGCATCTCTGTCAATCTTGTAGACTATACGATTCCAAGTCCCAACGCGGGTTTTCAATTTACAACCATCTGACTCAAAGGCAAGAGAACTACCAACTCAGTCAGGCTGACTTCCCATCTAGTCAGAGCCACACCATCAAAACCAAAACTTGCTCCTTCTCCAAAGTTGCAAAACAAAACAACAAAATTACATTTGTATAGCACATTTCACATTGGAAGGACGTCCCAAGGCGTTGCACAGTCAGTGTTTCGGACCCGAGCTGGGGGTCGGGATTGGGGCGGGTGGAGGGAAGTGGGGTGGGGGGGGAGGAAAGGAGGGTAATTGAAGGCACGGTCGAAGAGGAGCATCTTGAGATTGATCTTGAAGGAGGCAAGGGAGGGGGCAAAGCGGAGGGACTGCAGAATGTAGTTCCAGATGGTAGATTGGCTAAAGGCTCGCCTGCTAATGATGTGGTGGGCGAGGCTGGGGAGGTGAAGGGGGTAGCAAGGCCATGGAAGGCTTTGAAGGTGAGGACCAGGATCTTGAACTGTATACTCTGTGTTATGGGAAGCCAGTGGAGTCAGGCGAAGATCGGGGTGATAGGATTATGGAGCCTGGTGCGGGAGAGGACACGGGCTGCAGAGTTCTGATCTAAAGTCTATGGAGAGAGGAATTGGGGAAGTTGACAAGCAGGGAGTTTACATACTCAAGCCTGGATGTTATGAATGCTTTTGGCGGCCTGCGGTGTAAGACACTGGTGGAGCTGGGCAATGTTGCGGAGGTGGGAGAAGGCAGAGCGGGTCATGGCACGGATGTGAGGTAGAGAGGATAGTTGAGTGTGAAACAAGAGGGTTCCAGACTGGCTTAGTAAGGTTGAATGTGCATCCTTGGTGATGCTGTCAGCGCCTGTGGTGTGGAGGCACTGATGGAAGCCAATGAAGAGGGCCTTGGTCTTGTTGACGTTCAACTAAAGAAAGTTAGCTATCATCCAGGACTTGACATCTGACAGACATTCTCTCAGGACAGGAATGGACCTGGAGTCAAGGGTGGAGGCAGAGAGATGGAGTTGGGTGTCATCCGCATACATGTGTAAGTTGACCATGCGGATGATGTCACCAAGAGGGAGCATATAGGTATTGAAGAGGAGGGACCAAGGTCAGATCCCTGAGGATTGCCGCACAAGATGGTGCGGGGGCTAGAGGAGAAACCGTTTGTGGTGATGAAGTGGAGATGGTGTGAGAGGTAGGATCTGAACCATTCAAGGACAGAACTGTGAAGGTTGAGGTAAGAGGAGAGGTAGTGGAGGGGGATAGAGTGGTTAATGGTTTTGAAGGCAACAGAGAGGTCAAAGAGGGCAAGTAGGGAGTCCTGGTCACAGATGGACAGAAGGTCATTTGTCACTTTGACCAAAACAAGATATATAAAATGTTACAGGTGCTGTGCTCCCCAATGAATATATATGTATATATAATCATTCTCCTATTATTGCTTATTGAATTTCGCTGCCTCAGCTGAAAGGAACGGTCACACAATAAAGCATCTGTCCCCGCCAAGGCACTGCTGCAAAATCCCCTGAGCCCTCGCGGTGATTACAGAGGTCACACATAAACTCAGCCAACAAAGCAAAGAATTTTCTCTCTCATCACTGATGCAGGCTTATCGCCTTCTTCCTGGTGGAGGAAGTGGGAGGGAGGAGAAGGGAGAAACAACAGGAAGAAATAGTATGAATTCAACAAACAACCCCAAAGTAAATCAAGCTCTGTCCTGTCCAGAACCATCTGCCTCTCGTTTTATACATCTATAAAGAGACAGTCACTACACTTTGCGGTGAATCCTGTGAAGCGCATTGAGACGTCCTCCTGATGTGAAAGGCGATGTGTCAAATAAGCGTGACATCATTATTATGGGCTGGCTTTGCACTGGTTCTCACCAATTTTTGCACAGCAATGTATCACAAACTGCCATTGAAGTGAGCAGCCAATTTTATCTGGGGGATTGGAGACAGAAACTCCCTTCCTTTTTCAAGACTGCACTTAAAAAGGCACAGACGTTATCTCGGTTTATGGTCTCATTCCAAGGACGGCACCTCTGACATTGCAGCGCTCCCCACAGCACCGCACTGGAGTGTCAGCCTAAACTGTGAACTCAAAGTCCCCGTCTTCGGGCTCGAACTCACAACCTTCTGCCTCGGAAGTGGGGAATGCGAACAACTGGAGTCCTGTAGCTCAGTGATTAGAGCACTCGCTTTGCAAGCGAGAGACCTGAGTTCAATTCCAAACAGGGCGAAACCTTGGGTAAGTTTCCTTACTCCACACAGAGCCTAATAATAATCCCTCCAAAACAAAAAACAATAATAATTGGTCATTTTCAATCTACGACTGTTTGTGGGACATTGCTGTGCGCAATTGGCTGCCGCGTTGGCTCACAAATATACAGTCAATTCACTTTACAGTGTGTTCTGTGAAGCGCTTTGGGACGTCCTCCCGACGTGAAAAGCGCTATATCAAATGCAAGGATTATTATTATTATTAACCGAGCCTGATGCCTTAAGATGCACGTCATAAAAGAAACTCGACTAACGACCAGTCGAAATCACTCCCATTTCTGCTCTATATGCATGACAGGAAACTGAAATATTTTGATATTAAACAGATTCCAAGCCTGCAACAGGCTAGAAATGAGGATTCGTCAAGCATCGTGTGTCTTGGTATCATTAAGGCAGCACTCTATCAGGCTTCCAGGGAATTACTGTCAATTGTGCAGTGTTGAGAGGTTTGTCAGTTGTTAGCGGGCTGCAATTTGCCATTTCGTCCAATCAAAGGCAGATGGAGAGATGCGATCGGTGAGCCATGCCCACACCTGGCAAGGAATGGAGAAATCTCTCAATACCTTTACCCACAATAGAGCAGCAGAATTATAATAATAATAATAGTCCTTGCATTTGATATAGCACCTTGTCACATCGTTGAGACATCTCAAAGCGTTTCACAGAATATACTATAAAGTGAATTGACTGTATATTTTTGAGGGTGAAACACAGCAGCCAATTGCACAAAGCAGTATTCCACAAACAGTTGTGGATTGAGTGACCGATTTTTTTAAGGGGATTATTACCCCTGGAAAACAATCTGCCAATCGACTAACTGAATTCCTACTAATTGCTAGGTAAACTGAGGTGCGTAAGGAGTAAGGAAACTTGCCTCCCGGGAATCTGGGTTCTCTCGCTTGCGAGGCGAGTGCTCTAACAGATAGTAAACACCAATACACTGCAGGACACTGACAGCCCCATGGAACAGCACAGAGTGTGAAGTGGATTTGTTGGATTTCAGGAGCCACACTTCAATCGCTGCTCTCACAGTGGTTCGTGCTTGATCACAGCAAAAGCTGCAGAATCGTCCAATCCCATTCCTCCATACCCTTCACACCATTTTCCTCAACCCTTAATCCAATTCCCTTTCAAGTGCTGTTCCAGATTCGCCTTCAAAAGCCTCGCGTGAGCCTGCATTCAAAATTCTAACCCTTTCACATACACACACATGGGTAAAATTAATAAATATTATATGACCTAGCGGCCATTAGCCTCCTCAGAAATTACATTAAAGAACTCAGTCCCAACGCAGCTCAAGATATCTCTTTTATCACAGCGGATCTTTTCAATTCCACTTTGTTGGACTCCTCACTTCCTGAGTATCCCTCCGTCTCCCTTTCAAAAACATCCCCAGTTTGTTTGGATCTTTACCGCCTTCTGAGGCAAAGCTCTTCGCCACTTTCTCACCCTCTCTGCTTGACAGATAAGGAGAGTTGGCTGTCGGCCAATTAGTTGGCTATTAAATTACAGTTCACGTTTAACAGGCACAGTAAGTACCAATTGTGAAATATCTCTTTAAGTAACAATCCTCACAAGTCATATCGCACGACCTTGGAAGGAGGGCGAAGGCGGAGGTAAGTGGGGTCTCCTTGTAACTCATCTGGCTCCAAGGTGATGTGCTTGGCAATGGAATGTCAGAATCGAGACAGCCCTCTGTGATGGTCTTTAATCTGGTTCCTGAGCCAGGTGGCAGTTACAGCCAGGCTGGCTCATCGACAGGAATTAGAGGTAAGGATCAGTCAGCAATAGCTGGGTAGGGTGATCCTGGCTGGGCAAGCAGTGGGAAAGCTTGGGACAGTGCTCTTCAATTTAAAAATATAATCCTTGCATTAGATGTAGAGCTGAATCACGTTGTCTCAAAGAGCTTCACAGGATGTACTGTAAAGCGCAATGGCTGTATATTGTGGGCGAAAAAGGACAGCTATTTGTGGACAGCAATGTTCCATGGAACCTATGCCAAAGACTTTCTGGAATTTGGTAAGTAGGGTATATCCCTCCAGAAGAACGTGAGTTCAAAGTCCCGATGTGGGGGCCCTGAACAAACAATTTTCTGACTGAGCCTGGCTGACACACACTCCGACCTTCCCTGCAGCAAGTCCAGCCCAACCCAACCCAGTCCAGTGCAGCCCAGCGCAGCCGAGTCCAGCCTGGTCCAGCCCAGCCCAGTCCAGCCCAGTGCAGCCCAGCCGAGTCCAGCCCGGTGCGGCCCAGCCCAGCCAGTCCAGCCCAGCCAAGTCCAGCCCGGTCCGACTCAGCCCTGCGCAGCCTAGTCCAGTGCAACCCAGACCCAGATTGTCCCACACATAGGGTTGAGTGTTGAGCAATGTTGGTTTACCTGTGCATTTCTTGACCTTGCTGTTCCTTTTCCCGTGCCAACTTAATTTACAGTCGAAATTCTCCTCCCAGAACTCGGCAAACCATAGATTCCTGCGGTTGTTCTCCAGTGTCCGGCTTCTAAAGTATTTATCGAACCCTGTGGGAGAGGTGGAGGAAGAGTTTGACTGTGTGAACTTAGCGTGGTAATATAATACAGCTTACATTGTTTCCGCGATACGTGATACATTTCTGCAATGCCTGACGAGTTTCTGCAACGTGTCATGGGTTTCTATGATTTGTTTCTGTTCTATGTTGGGGAAGGAGCCAGAGCGCAGTGTTGTTACCTTCTATGGAGGCTCTTTTGGGCAGGATGGTCACAGCTCCTTCTGCCATTTGTTCATGCTGATATACAGGAGCCACCTTGGCACCCCAACTGTCTGACCCGACCCACAGAAAGTGTCCGATCCGCACAGACCTCCTCGCTGCCTCCAGCACACGCCTGTGGAGAAGATTACACCACAGGTTTGGGTGGACAAAACCCCGCGGCCCATCTCATCCTTCCACAAATCCCGCCCAACCCTCCACCCAACACAGCACCCAGCAAGTTCTTATCAAGTTCTGCCCTCAATCTCTCGTCCCGGTAACCCACTTCCAGATGTTAATTATTATTAAGACATTAAAACTCACTTGTCTTCACTTAAATAAATTGTATAATCGACTAAGTCATACATCCACCCGAATCCCATTCAGTTTCCTATCAAAATCACTTAGATTTCTTTGCACTACTCGTAATTATCACTCGTAAATCGTAACATTACTCTCCTATCCTCTATTATTCCTGCACTTACTGGCTGCATTGAATTACGCATGCTCAGTGTAGATTATTGATTAAATCGGATTTTATATGACTTCTACAGTTTACCTGCAACTTAGACTCTGCGTAAATGATATTAAACGTTTTGGTCCCGACTGATACGACTTATATGAGTTTTACTGTAATAATAATCCTTGTGTTTGACAAAGCACCTTTCACATCGGGAGGACCTCTTAATTCTCTTCACAGGGTTCTGTTGTAAAACGCAGAGACAATTTTTATCCCACAACATCCCACAAACAGCCACAAAATGAACATGGGGGATTGTCGGCCAAGACACCAAAAGATCAAACGCGATGGTCAAGAATTGGTGCTGAGGGTGTGTGTTGGTAACACCGAGTGTACCTTTCGACGGCTCCAGATTCTCAGATAATAATAATCCTTGCATTTGAAAAAGTGCCTTATCACACCATTGAGATGTCTCAAAGCACTTCACAGAATTTACTGTAAAGTGGAGTGACTGTGTATTTGTAGGCAACCGTGGCAGCCCAATTTGTACGCAGCAATATGCCACAAACAGCCATGGAAGGTGAGTCACTTGATGGCAAGTACCAAGAACTCTCTGTGAGCTTTCTGGTTAGCAACATGATATGTATGAGAGCATTGCCACAGCTCAGGCACGTCTCTTCCCATTGAGCAATAGTTCTACCTGGCATGCTTTCCCATTTCCAGGCAGGGCGAAACTTTGGGCAAGTTTCCTTACTCCACACACATTTTATTATTTGGGCTTTGGCTTGCAGAGTCAACAGGAGCTGAGTGGGAGGAGTCCCTGTCCTCACTGGCTGGTCTGCCACTCCAAGTCCCACCCATGAGCCAGGGTGGCTGTGCTGTTATCAGCAGTGCCCCCACTTAGAAACTGATTAACGGGAACGTCATGGAGGGTGGGCTCAATTCCGACATTATCCCTGACATTGCTGCATTGCCAGAAGTGCCATCCTTTGGATAAGACATTTACACCAAGGTCCCCTCTGCCTGTTCAGGTGAACGTTAAAGATCCAGTGACAATACCCCAGGACAGTACCTCGCAGATAGATGTAAGACGAACAGAGTTGTGATAATGGGAGATTTCAATTATCCCAATATAGACTGTCAAAATAGCAGCACTAAGGGCAAGGCAGGAGAAAGATTCATAAACTGTGTACAGGAAAATTTTCTTGAGTCTCCAGTCCTACAAGGAAGGAAGCATTGCTGGATCTAGTTCTGGGGAATGAAATAGGTCAGGTTGAACAGGTTTCGGTAGGGGAGCATCTAGGTAACAGTGACCATAATATTATTAGATTTAGATTACTCATGAACAGGGACAAAGTACAGTCAAGGGTGAAAATGCTTGACTGGAAAAGGGCTAATTTTGATGGGCTAAAAAGGGACCTAGAGTTGGTGGACTGGCAAGTAAGACTAGCAGGTAAAACGACTCATGAGCAATGGGAGATCTTCAAAGATATGATAGCTCAAGGTCTAAATAGATATATTCCCACAAAAGGGAAATGTGCGACAACCAAGCCAGCCTGGATGACCAGGGATATTCTGTCTAGGATGAAAAAGAAGAAGACGGCGTACGACAATTGGAAGACGCAAGATACTGAGGATAGCAAAGCGCATTATAGAGAATGCAGGAGTGATCTTAAAAGAGTGATAAGACAGGCTAAAAGATCGCATGAGAAGAGGTTAGCGGGTAACATAAAGGGGAATCCTAAAATATTTTACAAGCACATAAAGGAAAAAAGGTTAGTTAAAGGTAGGGTGGGGCCAATCAAAGACAATGACGGCAATCTTGTTGTGGAGGCAGAGGGCATGGCTGATGTACTGAACGAGTACTTTGCATCTGTCTTCACAACGGAAATGGATGCCCCAAATGCCGCAGTATTGGATGAGAGGGTAGAGGAAATAGATCAGATTACTATAGACAGAGAGGAAGTTCTGAAAAGATTGACTGGGCTCAAAATTGATAAGTCACCAGGACCAGATGGGTTTCACCCAAGGTTGCTGTGGGAGATACGGGTTCAAATAGCGGAGGCTTTGGCCATTATATTTCAATCTTCATTGGACACAGGAGTGGTGCCAAGAGACTGGAGAGTGGCTAATGTTACCCCCTCTACAAAAAGGGGCAGAAAGACAAACCCGGAAATTACAGGCCAGTCAGCCTAACTTCGGTAATAGGAAAACTACTGGAGACCATAATCCGGGACAGAATAAATCTCTACTTAGAGGAACATGAGGTAATTAGAGACAGCCAACATGGATTTGTTAAAGGCAAATCTTGCCTAACAAATCTAATAGAATTTTTTGAAGAGGTGACTGCGAGGGTTGATGAGGGAAATGCGGTGGATGTTATTTACATGGATTTTAAAAAGGCTTTTGACACAGTACCACATAAGAGATTAATAAAAAAATTAGAGGCCCACTGTATTAAGGGGACAGTGGCAGTTTGGATTAAGAACTGGCTGAGTGACAGAAAGCAGAGGGTGGTGGTTAATGGGTGTTTCTCGAAATGGAAGGAGGTGTGCAGCGGTGTCCCCCAGGGATCGGTATTGGGACCACTGCTCTTTCTAATATATATTAATGATCTGGACTTGGGCATAGAGAGCACTATTTCCAAGTTTGCAGATGATACAAAGTTAGGTAGGGTAGTAAATAGTGAGGAGGACTGTAACCAACTGCAAGCAGACATACACAGAATGGTGGAATGGGCTGACATGTGGCAGATGGATTTCAATGTGGATAAGTGTGAGGTGATACACTTAGGTAGGAAAAATGATAGGAGGCAATATAGACTTGGTAGCTCAATCTTAAGGGGGTGAACGTACAGAGAGATCTGGGTGTTCAAGTAAGCAAATCATTAAAGGTAGCGGGGCAGGTAGATAAGGCAGTAAAAAAGGCATTTGGTGTACTGAGCTTTATTAGTAGGAGCATAGAGTATAAGAGTAGGGAGGTTATGGTTAATCTATACAAAACACTGGTTAGGCCTCAGCTGGAGTACTGCGTCCAGTTCTGGGCCCTTACTTCAGGAAGGACATTAAGGCACTGGAAAGGGTGCAGAGGAGATTCACGAGAATGTTACCAGGAATGGTTAACCTTAGCTATGAGGACAGGCTGGAGAAGTTAGCACTTTTCCCATTATAGCAGAGAAGGTTATGCGGGGACCTGATAGAGGTCTTAAAGATCATGAAAGGTTTCGACAGGCTAGATAAGGAAAAGCTGTTTCCGTGGTCACAGTCTTAAGATATCTACCAAAAGAAGCAGAGGGGAGGTTAGAAGAAATATTTTCACTCAGCTAGTTGTTCGAATTTGGAATGATAATAATAATAATAATAATCCTTGCATTTGATATAGCGCTTTTCACGTCGAGAGGACGTCCCAAAGCGCTTCACAGAACACACTGTAAAGTGAATTGACTGTACATTTGTGGGCGAACGCGGCAGCCAATTGCGCACAGCAATGTCCCACAAACAGTCGTAGATTGAAAATGACCAATTTATTAGTGTTTTTTGTTTTGGAGGGATTATTATTAGGCGTGTGGAGTAAGGAAACTTGCCCAAGGTTTCGCCCTGCCTGGAATTGAACTCGGGTCTCTCGCTTGCAAAGCGAGTGCTCTAACCACTGAACTATTATTATAAAGCGATTCAAGACTATTATTTATGTGAAAGGTGCTGTATCAACGTGAGTCATTAATTTGTTTTTTGTTGACCCTGGGGCAGACAGGCGGTGTGTGTATGTGTGTGATGTTTTGCGTGTATGTGTATGTGGTGTATGTGGTATTGTGTGTATGTGTGGTTTGTGTGTATGTGTGTGTGGTGTGTGTGGTTGATGTACATGGTGTGAGTGGTTGGTGTGTGTATGTGTGTGGTATGTATTGTGTGTGATTGGTGTGTATGTGTTGTTTGTGTGGTTAGTTTGTGTAGTGTGATTTGGGTATGGTTGGTGTATGTGGTTGGTGCATATGGTGTGGTGTGTGTGATTGGTGTAATGTGTGGTGTGTGTTTAGTGGTTGGTGTGTATGCTGTGTGCATGTGTGTGATGTGGGTGGTATGTGTTGTGTGGTTGGTGTGTGTTATTGGTATATGGTGTGTTGTGTGGTTGGTTTGTGTGTGTATGTATGTGGTGTGTGTTGTGTGGTTGGCGTGTGTGGTGTGTGTTGTTTGTGGTGTGTGTGGTCGGTGTGTGTTGTGTGTGGTGTGTACGTGTGTGCTGTGAGTTGGGTACGGTGTGTGTCGGGTGTGATGTGTGGTTGGTGTGTGTGGTGTGTGTATGTGTGTCACGTGTGTTATTTGTGGTGTCTGTGGTTGGTGTGTGTGTGGTGTGTATTGTGTGTGGTGTGTGTTATTTGTGGTTGGTGTGTGGTGTGTGTTGTTTGTTGTGGTGTGTGTGGTTGGTGTGTGTTGTTTGTGGTATGTGTGGCTGGTGTATGTTGTGTGTGTGTGTCTGCAGTGAATTGCTGCATACAAGAGAGGAACAGGCAACAGCGATACGCACTTGATGTCATCCTCATTGGCAAATATAATCACCCCCCTAGCGTTCGGCATCTCCAGCAAACGACTGATGATCTTGTCAAACTCGGATGGTCTGGGCTCGCGGGGGATTTTCAGTGACTGAGCGATGCAGACCCCACCTGAGGGAGAGAAAGAAACAAAATAACGATTTCTCATACACACACACACTGCCATTCAATGATTTGTCTCATGCACAGATCATCCGGGTATCTGACGCACCAGACTGTGATTGCTACGTAGGTATGCCACGGAAACATGGAAATTTCCCTGTGTCTGTGACGGACGGATGGATAGACAGATGTGACGCAGACTGATGATTGCTGAACGTAGCAAGTGGCTGGCTGGGATGTCGGGTCTCAGGAGGTCACACCTCTGCGACTTATTAACACATTACCAACCCTGTCCGCTCCCTCCACTCGTCTGGCCAGCTCCACTTCCCCACCACGCCTGCTCCAACTTCTGACCCCACCTTCTGGAACTCAATCCCGGAGCCCATCCACCTCACCCCCTCCCTTGTCGCTGTTTGACCGTGAGTTCAGCCACACTCCCACCCCCACCCCCCTTGTCCTCCACCCCTATTGATTCCAACCAGCAACTCGGGAGTAAAGCCTTCAGTGTCCAATGGCTTGTGACATCCCCCGATGTGAAAAGTTCGATACAAATGCAATTTGCTATTCTTGTTATTGTCACATAGGTATATCAATGGATTGTGGCTCTGTTGGAATACATCACTGGGGAGGAGGGGACAACTTGTGTTTGGTTGCTTTTTGGTTTCACCGTCAGAGGGAACTTGAGCAGGTCTCTGGCAGAGAGGAACTGACAGACACCAGGTACGGAGTGTCTGATCTCCCAGCTCAGCTCCTATCGGTTTCTGTTGATCAATGGCCCTGACTCTCTGAACTCAGAGATGCGGAGCCAGCTAAGTATCATGTACACACAAGCAGTGGACGGTACCAGTCTGCACACTCAAGGTCGGACGGCTTAAATCACCCGGCTCCTTCTGCTGAGTTACAACACTGGGATAGCAATGCAGCAGCCAAGTTGCCCAGTGACACTCCATCACAATAAACACAAGACTTTTCTGCTCCCATCGGCCACACCACTCAAAATTCTAGCATTTGATACAGCGTCATATCACAGCGTTGAGAGGTCTCAAAGTGCTACACAGGCTTTTACTGTAAAGTGACTATGTTTGTGAGTGAACGCAGCAGCCAATTTCCATGCAGAAATGTCCCCCAAACAGGCATGAAGAAAATCACCAGTTTTATATGGGGGACTGTTGGCCAGGATACCAGGAGAGTGAGTGACCTTCTTTTCTCTTGTTGAACTGTGATGTGGGATATTTGATGTCCACCTGAACTGGTAAATGGGACCTCGATTCTCAATATCTCATTCAAAGGATGGTGCCCTGACCCCAGCAGGAAGCTTGCCAGACAGTGCTCTCAATGGCAAACTCTGTGGTTTTAACTGGTGCAACTCAGGCAGTTATCCCAACGCACACTCTGGGATCCCTGAGCCTTGGCTCCCACCTAATCAGGTAAGCATGGTGTGTTCCTGTTTAACTGATATGTGGAACTCAATCTGGTTTGGATACTTTTAAGCACCACAATGAGTTTCCACATGTGTCACCCAGCTGACCAAAAAAAAACAGAAAGCTCCTCGTCAGATCGAGCAAGATGCTGAAAAAAGCGAGATGTCATGATAAGGTGTACATATCCACTCAGCACTGCTCGAGTGCATATCCTCTCTCCTGTAAAGGAGATTAATTTAACTAAGATGTAGTTGATTTTCTCATTATCTCCAATAAAGAGGAGACCTATTGCTCGCTACAAACCGGCTTTCAAAGAGCTTATTGATCTGTTCAGGCGAAGGCACAAAGCTCTTTAGAATTAATTCAGCTAATGATTATGAGCATTCCGCAAAGTTAAGAAACAAATTCCATTTGCAGATCAGGTTGGCTTAGTCGCCCGACCTCTCGTCTCGGAGTCATAAGACTGTGTGATTAATACCCCACATTGGGACGTTGAGCTCACAGTGTAGACTGACAACAACAACAAACAAAATTACAGTTGTATAGCGTCGAGAGGATGCTCCAAGGTGCTGGACAGTCAGCGTTTCAGACACTGGCTGGGGGTCGGGATTGGGAAGGGTGGATGACAGAGGGGGAAGGAAGGTGATCGAAATCATGGTTGAAGAGGAGGGTGTTGAGATGGGTCTTGAAGGATGCAAGGGAGGGGGAGAGGCAAAGGGATTGTGGGATGGAGTTCCATAGGATGGGGCAGAAAGTTTGAAGGACCGGTTGCCGATGGTGGAGCAGGCCGAGCGGGGGACGTGGAGTAAGCCAGAGTCTGCTCAGCAGAGGGAGAGGACAGGTTGATATGCGGTCAGCAGGTCACAGATGTAGGGAGGGAGCAGAGGTAGCAGAGGTTCATGATTGTTTGTGGAACATTACTTTCATGCCCACCTGAACAGGCAAACGGGACCTCGGGTTTACGTTTCATCTGAAGCTGGGCACCTCCAGCAATGCAGTGCGCCCCTCAGCACTGAATTGGAGCGTCAGCCTGGACTGTGAGTCCCGGTTTCTTTACAAGATGCCTTACACTAATGATCATAACCTCATAATAATAATAATCCTTACAATTGATATAACGTCTTATCATGACATTGAGACATTTCAACGCGCCTTCACAGCATATACAATTGACTGTGCATTTTTTAGGTGAAACGAGGCAGCCAGTTGTGCACAGCAGCGTCCCACAAACGGCATGGAGTGAATGACCAATTTTGGGGGATTGTTAATCAGGACACCAGGAGAGAGTAACTCCCTTCTCTTTTCAAATAGTGCCATGGATCTTTAACATCCGCCTAAACAGGCACAGATGAAACCTTGGTTTAACGTCCTCGGACAATGCAGTGCTCCCCAGCACTGAGTTGGGAGTGTCAGCCTGGACTGTGAGCTCAAAATCTCCAATGTGGGCTTGAATCCACAATCTTCTGACTCAGGCTGACATACCTTGTGATAAAGACACATCTCTCCCGATCAAGGCCTCGATCACAAACAAATGCATGGCAACTTCTGTTCTTGAATGGTATCAGTGATGTGAAAACCACTGAGCGATGGTGTAATATTCACAATTCAGAGCGGGATCTCACTGAGGTATATTGAGCAGAACGTCAAACTTTGCATTTCCATCAACCTGATAGAAATCTTCACTTCTCAGTTGTTATATTGATATTTCAATGCAAGATCCACACACACTTACAAGCAAGTGATGAGAATGTTACCCCAGATGCACGGCTCTTGGCCTGATATTCTGCGTGGATGGTGAGATGGATATCAATGTAAGATTACAGCAGGACTGGAGAAGAAATCTTTGCCTCCCAGAGGATTCTCAGAGTTGGAAAGAGATACTGCTTGAAGCAGAGTGGAGTGTTCAACAGAGCATTTTAGCATATTCAGCGAGTGAGCAGGAAGAACATCAGAGGGGAAGGGGATTCGAGGGGAAAGAGAGAGAAGGGAATTGGAGAAGAAAGATTGAGAGAAGAGAATTGGAGGGGAAAGAGAAATTGATTGGAGGGGAAAATGAGAGAATGGGAGTGGAGGGGAAAGAGGGAAGGGAATTCGAGGGGAAAGAGAGAGGGAAGGGAATTGGAGAGGAAACCTGCTTCTCACCCTGTCAGGAGCTTCAAAATCCTTCCCATTGTTTGGGGCCAATTTAATGATAAACAGCTGGGGAGGGGGTTCATTCACAACCTTTGCAATCTGCAGCATTTGTGGGAGTGCTTTCAGATAAGTATTGCTCTTATGCACATTGCTACATTGCGCTGATTATGGGGAGGCTGTGACTATTGATAGAACCATTGGATAGCTGATGTTGAATAGAGCACCAGAGTGAGTGCGTGCAATGGGTCTCCAGTTACACTAGAGACACAAACAGTGAATTGTACACCTTATCGAGATAGTGATCGTCTCGGCAGCAGCTGAATGAGCTGGCCTACCCCAAATAAAACTAGCTTCCCATTCTGTCGGACATTGCTGCACGCAAATTGGCTGCCACGTTTGCCCACACAGTGCACAGTCACTGCATTTTACAGTGTCCTGTGAAGCCCTTTGAGACGTCTCAATGACGTGATGTGTGCCATATTAAATGTAAGGATTATTGGAACAACAATAAATTGCATTTATATTGTGCCTTTCACATCGGGAGGCTAGCTCAAGGCTATTATTACTATTATAAAATGACAGACCAACAACGATGTTCAAAGCATTCACCTCCTTCCTCCTGCACACAGGTGCTGACAAACCACATATCCCTGTCTTGCCTTCAGCTTACCAAATAGTACGTCTGTCCATGTGTTACAGATCGGAAACTGGGCTTAATGACATGACACCCGGACTGATCTCTGACTCGCTCCTCGACTTACTGATCTTTAAACCGGAAATGTTGGGGTGTCAGTTCATTAAATGTGTCTTGTTAAAAGTCTGAGGCACTTCGCAGCAGTAGCTCCCTGCTTGCCCGACTTAGATTATCCTCCTGTCATATAACCACTTCGGATCTATTCACTGAATGAGAGAACTTTTTATATTGTGTCAATTGACCTATTTCTTGCTGGCAAAACTGGAAGTTGTAGTAACTGTGTATTTTGTGGGCAAGCACAATAGCTAAACTGTACATAGCAATGTCTCCAAAATGAAGGCATGAAGTGAGTGACTATTTTATCTGGCGGAATTGTTGGCCAGGAGACCGGGAGAGAGAATCTTCCTTCTCTTTTCCAATCGCACCATGGGATTCTTTCTCAACAGCGTGGCAATATCTTTTAACATCCGCTCGAACGGGCACAGATGGGTTTAAAGTCTCTGCCAGTGTGGCGCTTCCCTCCAATCGTCAGCCTGGACTGTGAGCTCAGACTCAAACTGTGGTCGTGTCGCATATCAGTTAGAGCAAGCGAGAGGACCCAAGTTCCATTTCCGGGTGAGGTAAAATCTTAGGCAAGTTTCCTTACTTTACACGCCTCTGTTTACCGAGCAGTAAGTAGGAACCTGATTATTAGTTGATTGGCGGTTCACTTTCCAGTGATAATAATCCCTCCAAAAAAAAAAGAAATTTGGTCACTGTACCCACGACTGTTTTTGGAACACCTCTGTGGACAATTGCTGCCATGTTTCACCCATAAAATATACAGCCAATTCACATGATAATATATTCTGTGAAGCGCTTTGAGACGTCTCAATGATGTCAAGAAGCTATATAAATGCAAGGATTATAACTGAAAAGTGAAACTGCACGTATGAGACAAGCTGCTGGCTTTGCTGCTGGCTGGTTGGAATCAGCCGGATATGAGTTACGATGATTAAATGAATCAGCAGCTCAGTGAATTGCTGGAATAATTAAAATCCACTTAACCTCCCCCGACCCCCCTCAACCAAAATAACTTCACGTGACAACATGGACAAGACAGGACGCGAGTCTGTGGGGAATAAACAAGGGCTGAGAGATTGTTTCAGCCCAGAGCACATCTCCAGCAGGTTTTAATGAATTTTTTCTTTCACTCACGCTCTTTTTTTAGCTGCTCAAAGGGTTACCATAAGAGGGAGGAGGTGATGGGGGTGGGGGTGAAGAGCGTGAACAGGCACAGACTGGACCTTGGTTTAATGTCACGTTCCCCCAGCACTGCACTGGAGATCAACCTAAACTGTGAGCTCAAAATACAACACCTTGCAAAATTACAATCTTGCATTTATATAGCATCCGAGATACGCGGGTAGCATCTTGGAGTGCTTAAAATAATAAAGATCCTTGATACAGCGTCTTATCGCATTGTTGAGACACCTCAAAGTGCTGCACAAGAATATATTGTGTATTTTGTGGACGAAACACAGCAGTCAATTGCGCACAGCAGTTTCCCACAAACTGGATTGAGTGACCACATATTTTTTGAGGGATTACTTATGTGGGAAAGCGATCTGCATGGACTAACAACCGGGTTCCTATTTACTGCTAGGTAAACAAATTAATGGAATCGTTCAGAGAAAACTGAATTGAGTTAGAACACTGCAGGAGAGAGAGAGAGTTGGAAGTTAGGATTTATAACAAAACTGATTTAAAAATAATGACCTGCTCCAATTTTATGATCAACATCTTGGCCCAAACTGGTGCAAACCCAAAATCACAAGAGTTTTGAATGAAGAATCTTTAGCCCATCAGACGTCATCCCTCCAGAATCCCCACCTGACCATCTTCACACAGACTTGGCTTGAATCGTCCTTCTTGGCAACCACACATTAATTTAATTGTTTGCCACTAAACACATAGTTACTACACTTATAGTGAAATTCTGTGAAGCGCTTTGAGATGTCCCACATCGGGACTTGAACTCACAATGTCTGAGTTGACACTCAGACCTGGGGGGTGTTGCATTTTCAGAGGTATGTTCCTTCAAATGAGATGTTAAACTGCTGTCTACCTGCTAAGGTGGACGTTAAAGATCCCATGGCACTGTTCAAAAAGAGAATGGAGTTTATCTTTCCTGGTGTCATGGCCAACAATCCCCAAAATAAAATTGATCACTCACTCCCTGGCAGTCTGTGGAACATCACTGTGTGTAATTGTGCTGCTGTGCTGGCCGACAAATACACAGTCACTACATTTCAAAGTAAATCCTCTGAAGCGCTTTGAGAAACCCTTTCGACGTGGTAAAGAGCAAAATCAAATGCAAGGATTATTATTATTATTATCCTCCCAAAAAGAAAGGCAATACATCAAATTAAAGTATTATTATTTTTATTATTAATATTTCCTCTCTAGGATAATAACACAATCCTGGTATCTGTTCTGAAATTGCCTTTTGCAACCCGGAACCTGTGTCCTCTTGTCTCAGTACATGGGGATATCAGAGAGTACTATTCTGGGTTTACTTTCTCAATCTCATTGAGGTATATTTTGTCTCCTCTGAGATGAAGTGAGACTAGCAGTTGGGGATGGGAGTTATTTAATGTAACCAGCTGCTCAACAGACAAACTGTGATATAGACACACCTCAATATTTTTTGACCAGATAGGTGTCTGACATGCAAATTTATCTACGGGCTTAAGAGTATCCAACAACAACAGTAAATTGCATTCCTCTAGGGAGGAAGTCCCAAGACACTCGACACCAAACCACATATGTACACCACCTACACAAGAAAATTTGCCTGTGTCTGGAATGGAATGTGCACTCTCTCCCCGCAGAGGTAGGCAACATGCTTACCCAATTCTGGAGTGTATTGAGCACAGGCTGGCAACAACCAAGGCTTGAGGACTGTAGAGTATGCTTTGAAATATTGTTGGAGATTAATCAGCGAAAACTGCACAACTTGCCATTGATATCATTGTTTGGCAAGCATCCCACCCTAGCTGCAAGGACCACCCTAGCCATCAGGGTTACAGGAGCTGAGTGGATCGCTGCCTGGTTTGCTCCTCCAAGTCCTGCCGATGACCAGGCTGGCTGGGCTGTCATCCGTAGTGCTGTGGAATACTGTGGACCCGCCTGGCTTGGAAGCCGGACTACTGAGACTGCCACAGAGGGTGGACTCGATTCTAACATTCTGTTGCCACCTTAAGGGAGACTCTGGTTCACTCCCCTTTCTGCATCGAAACTGGGGTATTTTCTTGTCGTCAGAAAACAGGAGAGAAAGCTTTTCACAGCTACACCTCCTTCTAATCCTTTATTTGAATTTACAAGCCGTGAACAATTGCCTGTCGCCTCGTTCGATTGATTTGCTACAAACATTGCAGTTTCTCATTAAACACCTTAATGTCCCTCAGTACAGTTCATCTGTACAAAACACAACACTGTCATACACACACTGATACACACTGATTGTCACACAGACTCACACACCATGCTTTTGGTCAGGTTCTCCCCCCTCCCCTGGGGCTTCCAGTCAACTCTGTAAGCAGTAAAACAATAATCCTTAAGCTTGATACTACATCAATAACAAATTGGTGTGAAATAGAGCACCTTTCACGTCAGGAGGACGTCCCAAGGCAATGGACAGTGAAGGGTGTACTTTTGAGCTGGGGGCTAGCTGGGTGGAGATTAAGGGCGAGGGGATGATCGAAGACACAATCAAAGAGATGGAAGAGGTGGAGTGACTCTGGGATGGAGTTTCAGAGGGTGGGGTCAGAAAGGCTGAAGGCCCACCCACGAAAGGGAGGGAGCGGGCAGGTTGGTAACGATATAGCCCTTTTCACATGGGAAGGACGTATCAAACCACTTCATTGGATTTACTGGAAAGTACAGTGACTTGTAAGCAAACGTGGCAGCCAATTTACACACAGCTAAGTTCCACAACTCACCATGAAGTGAGTAACCGATTTTATCCGGGAGAGCCACTGTCAGCCAGGACAACGGGGAGAGGGAAAACCCTTCATTCTCCGAGATGTCCTTCCGATGTGGAAGGCCCTGCGTTGCTTGGCTGTAAACTGTTGTAAGCACTGGATAAAATGCAGGCATTATTATTTAATGTGAAATAAAATGAGGCTCCATAACACTACCCAACTGAAGTGCTCCAAGCAGCCAGGCGGCAAGTAAACTGTGCTGACAGGGTCCAGAGTGAAGAACCACCAGCAACAAATACCCCCCGAGAGATTACTGGTTGATACCTGGGCCTAGCAGACACTCGCAACAATACCCAGTGCAAGTGCTGATTTAAAAAATTCATTAGGTTTGATGGCCTTAAAGTGGCTTTAAGATCAGCTCTGTCGGGTGAACGCTCTCCGCCTCTTTCATACGTGCTTCCCAGTGAATGATAATAATCCTCACATTCGATACAGTGCCTTTCACATCGACAGACATCTCAAAGCGCTTCACAGGATTGACTATGAAACAATTTTGCACACAGCAAGATCCTGCAGACAGCTGTGAAGCAACGGACTAGTCTTTTTGACCGAGACTCGGGGAGAAGCTCCCATCTCTTTTACAACATCCTCATGTGTGTGTGGAGGTCAGTAACATTTTGTGTCACCACAGGGCTGGCGGTGAGACGTGAGAGAAGGAGTGTGCGATGTTGCAGGACGATCACTCGGGAAGTGATAATAATAATAATGATGATTATAATAATCATAATCCTTGAATTTGATACAGAGCTTTAAAATGTCATTGAAACTTCTCAAAGTGCCTCACAGAATATACTGTAAAGTGGATTGACTGTGTATTCTGTGTTTGAAATGCAGCAGCCAGTTTGGGCACAGCAGGGTCCCGCAAACAGCCTTGGGTGAGTGACCAATTTTATTTTGGAAGATTGTTGGCCAGGACAACAGGAGAGAGAAACTCCATTCTCTATTTGAATATTGCCATGGGATCTTTAATGTCTGCCTGAACAGGCTGACAAGACTTTGTACTAACATCTCATCCAAAGGACAGCACATCCAAAAAAGAAGCACTCCCCCTGTTATGTGCTCAACAATTAGTGTGTAGAAAACTCTTTTCTCAGCTCACAAGTTACAAATCAAACAATCCAACCAAAAACCCTCTACTCGGGTCTGCCTGCTTCCAGCTTTTCTACCTCCTGATCCCCTTTCATCGTCCTAGTTAATCGGCACTGAATTGGAGCATCAGCTATGGACAATGTGATTCCAAGTTCCGATGTAGGGCATGAACCCACAACCTCCTGAGGGGAGAGTGTAATCACTGAGGCGGCTGACACACACAGTTTGAGTGAAAACTCTGATTAACCTTCCTGATTCTCCATCAATGATCGAGGGACAGATTCCCCCCCTCCCCCACCCAACCACCAGCTACAGGACCTTGAAGGAGGTGAGGGAGGGGACCAGGCAGAGGAGCTCTGGAATGGAGTTTCAGAGGGTGGGACAGAAAGGCTGAAGGTCCTACCATCGAGGGTGAAAGAAGGAGGGCGGAGGACGTGGAGCAGGCCAGTGCCTGCAGAGACAGGGAAGTGGACACGTTGGTGAAGAGAGATACAGAGAGACCTCAGTGAGAAGCAGTCACTCACCAGTCTCCCTGGAGATCTGAATGAAGGCTTCCACCCCGCTCTCCCCATAGTTACCCTCCGACGCCAACGTAGAGACGTAGTTCCATCCCAACGAGGTGACGATGTCCACCATGGCTTGGACCTGGTAGGAGTCAGGTGGCACCACTCGGGAGAAGAAGTCATATCTTGTGTTATCGCTCAGCTCAGGAGCTGTCGATGCATAGCTGATCTGAGGGATCTGTGGGCAAAGGAACAACGGACATGGTCAGACATACATCCCCCAAAATACAATACACAGCCCCTGGTCCAAGTTTTATTCCCAATAAAAATATAATAATAGTAATAAATCTAAAATTTAATGCAGATGTATGTGGCAATAGGAAACAAACATGGTTCCTATAAATCATCAGTGCACCTAGGACTGTTGATAAGACTATTAAAAAATGGCTTGACAAAATACCTGGTGAACAAAATACCAGTTTCCTGTAAAACGTTGATTTAGGAATTTTAAATATAAAATAAATTTTAAAAAGTAACAACTATTCATATGTAAAATGGTGGTTTTATTGGTCTGGCTGACCCATCCCTGCAAACCACTTAGAAACTACCTCTACAGAATGATTTAAACTGTAAAACATAATGATAATAATATTATCATAATCTAGCATTTGATTTAGAACCATAGCATCATAGAAATTTAGGGCACAGAAAAAGGCCACTGTGCCTGTCAGCTCCTTTTAGAGCAATCCTTTCAGTCCCTCTTACCTGTCCTCCTCCTCCTGCCCCCCTCCCTCACATACCCCTGTAGTCTACTCTTTTTTAGCTATCTCTATAGTTCTTTTTTCGAAAGCAAATATGGATTCTGCCTCAACCATTGCTTTCGCCAGGGCATTCCACCCAAAGCACTGGTCAGACCACTCTTGGAGCAGTGTAATTACACAGCAAGTCACACAGAGCAGTGTAATTGTGCAGGGAGTTACACAGAGTGAATTACACAGTGGAGACAGATGTAAAACACTGTTTATTTGGGGAATGATTCCGTCAGACTGACTTGAGCAGCGCTCCAGCATAGTTAGCAAAATAAATTCAGGCCGGCCAACAAACAAGGAATAAAACAAGCTGCTTATGCTCAGGAATAGCCCTGGGGTTTAGTTAAAAGCTTGATGTCTTGGCAACATCTGGCTTCACTGCCATGCATTGTTAACCTCCATCATTTTGTCTCTGGGACCCAAAAGGAGTGTCAACAAGGAGACTCGGTGCAAGACTTTTTTGCGACCTGAGTCCTCAAGAAGCAGATGAAACAATAATAATAATAAATCCTTGCATTTGATGTCATGCTTTATCACGTCTTTGAGATATCTCAAAGCAATTCAGAATATACTGTCAAGAGAACTGACTTTATATACTGTGGGAAAAAAGCTGCAGCCAATTGCGAACAGCAGTGTCCCACAAACAGTAGTGGATTGAGTGACTGAATTGTTAGTATTATTTTTTTAATTTTGGGGAGGGATTATTACCCCCTGAAAACGATCCGACAATCGAGTTACATTGGAAATGCATGAATGAGGAGCCAGAGCAAGATCGATCGATTTTATCTCTTATTCATTTCTCTCCCCTCTCTCCCTTCCTATCCTGAAGATGTTCAGCTCATTTTCCCCTCCTGTTGGCTGACGCTATATCACATTTCGTGCTCTCCACTCTCTTTACACACAACCATTGGTTGTTTCACAAAATCATGACAGTCAAATCCCATGAAGCACTTTGTGATGCCTCGACAAGGTGGGAAAGCACTGTATCAGCACAGGGGTTGGTCCATTATTATTGTATTGTCACGATTTTGTCTTCCTGTTGCTTGGAACACACAATAAGAAAGCAAGAATCATGTTTCTCCAGCGGCTCATCACGTAAAAATAATAAAGCGTCTTTGACGGCAGGAGCATTTCTCAAAGTACTTCACAGGATTTATTGTAAAGTGTTTTGTTGGTAAACAAAATATCTCAAAGCTTCAAGCTTTGTTGCCGATTGCTGTCAGGTATAGAGGCTAATTTTGTCACACACTTCATGGCTGTTTGTGGAACACTGCTGTGCAAAATTGGCTGTCATGTTCATCCACAAAATGCAGAATCACTACACTTTACAGCAAAATTCTGTGAAGCGCTTTGCGACATCTCAACGATGTGATGAAGTGAACATCAGATGCAAGGATAATCATTGTTACAATATGAGCCCTGTCGTGCTTGGGGTGAAAATTGTAAAACCAGAGAGCGACTGCCCTGAAGGCGGGGGAAGCGAAGCCCAGCCCAGCACAGACAGGGTGAGCAGGATAGGGGTTTTCGCACAAACCTTGTGCTCCGAGTACAAGAGACGCTGCCCCGCATGAACGGCCCTATATAAATGCAAGTGCTACTGTTGTTGTGTGCAAGTAAATAACGGATAGCAGCCTAGACGAGGCTGAGCTCTTTCTTGGCACCTTCAAGCACAGGGAAGTTGTTCTGAGTTCAACCCCTCAGCTTGCTGACTAAACCAACATGTTCACACACCTGTCCAGGCTTTCTCTCCTTCAAAGAAGCCATCAATCCTAATCCCAATTGCCCTATTTTGTCTCATGGTCCTCTGCCTGGGATTTTGAGCTCATACGTAAAACAGTTCATCTGAAGGATGGTGTCTCTGACAATGCAGTGCTCCCCCCAGCACTAAGCTCCTTGGGAGGTCCTTCTGACATGAAAGGCGCTATACAAATGTAATTTTGTTGTTGTTGTTGCACTGAAGCATCAGATGAGACAATGCAGTGCTGCCCCCCACCCAGCACTGAACTGGAGCACCCATAGTCTTCCGACTTGGAGGCAAGAATGTAGGCGATTGAAACAGACCGACACATTCTGGCTGATAGAATTTGTTTCTTAACTGTGTGGAACGCTCATTAAGTTTAGATGAATCAACTCTGAAGAGCTTTGTGCCTTCGCCTGAACAGATCAATAAGCTCTTTGAAAGCCAGTCTGTAGTAACACTGTAGCACCCCACCTCCCACCCCCCGCCCCCACACAACAGCACTGCATCGGAGCATCAACCTAGACTGTGAGCTCAAAGCCCCCAAGGTGGGTCTTAACGCCACAATCTTCTGATTCTGAGGTAAGAGAGCGAGAGACTGAGCCGGGCTGACACCTTTATTTACATGTAAATAGTCAATTCCTGAAATATTTCCTGAGGCGTCGAGAAGACGTGAAAAGCGCTATATCAAATGCAAGGATTATTCATTATTATTATTTGTGCAGATGGCGATATCCTGTTGGGCTCTCCTTTGGAGAATAACTATCAGGCAAATCAACATAAAACACAACTTACGGACATGTAATTACACAATGTGGCCACAGCAGCCAGAATTAAATCGACCATATCTCACACTCTCCATTCCTCCCCAGGGCAAGCAAGGATGTAACGAATGATTTTAATAATCCTTGCGTTTGATATAGTACTTTATTTGGTCGTCAAATCGCCTCAAAGCGCTTGACAAGATTTACTGTAACGTGCAGTGACTGTGTATATTGTAGGTGAACGCGGCAGTCAATTTGCACACAATATCAGAGATGCTGTACTTTGGATGAGACGTTAAACAGCGGCCCCCGTTTGCCTATTCAGATCCCAAAGCACTGCTCGAAAAGTGAAGGGGGCTCTGCTGTGAATGTGTGCCAGGATTGGCTACACCTGGAATCTAAATCTGTCAAAAAGATGAAAGGCAGTAAAGCCTCACAGCAGATGGTGACGAGCCGATGTTCACTGCTGATTCGCCAGCAATATCAGAGCTAAAGATAGCTTTCAGCGAGTTTCAACAAGAACAACAACAAATTGCATTTATATTGCACCTTTCACGTTGGGATTTGCACCCGAGCTGCGGGTTGGGATAAGAGAGGGGTGGAGCACAAGGGAACGGAGGAGGGAAGATGACCGAAGGCACGGTCGAAAAGGAAGGTGTTGAGATGGGCCTTGGAGGTTCCAAGGGAGGGAGCGATGTGGAGGGGCTCTGGGATGAGGTTCCAGAGGGTTGGGGCATAAATGCTGAAGGCCTCACCTCCGATAGTGGAGCAGGCCGAGCTTGGGCAATGGAGCAGGTTGCCTGCAGAGCAGAAGGAGCAGACTGATTGGTGAAGTTTGAATAGTTTGCAGAGATGGGGAGGAGCAAGACCAGGGCTTTAAAGGTGAGGACAAGGATCTTGAACTCGATCCTCTGGGGGATGAGGAGTCAGTGAACGTTAAGTTTCTCACTTTACATTCCTCCGTGCCACTCCCGCCAGGCACAGTAATCACTGGCCGTCAGATGCTGCCTCGCACACGGAGCGAGGTTTAAATCACAGCAGCGGCACTTTTGGGTCTTGTTGATTTGAATTCGGCTCCTGACAATGATCATCAGTGCCAGACACACCTATCACATCAGTGAACCATCTGCTAATCGAGGTCTGTGTTGTGGTTTCTCCCCACATCTGATCCCACTCTACATGCTAGCCTCTCTCTTGTCCATCCTGCCACATCATCAACAGCTCCCCCTTGCCCCTCTAATTTCCCAACCCCGTCATTGTCCGAGATGTTACCCCACGTGATGGGTGCTATATAAATGCAAGCTGTTATTCCGTGAACTGATGAGTCTCATCCTCGCCTGGCTCCATGGGCTCCCCATTACTCAGAGGATCTCCTCGTCCTCACTTTAAAAACCCTACATGGCCTTGCTCCTCACTAAGTGTGCGACCTATTAACACCATTACCAACTTGTGTGGTCCCTCCGCTCGGCAGGCACTGATCTTCTCAATGTCCCCCACCCTGCCCGCTATTAGCAATCAGGCCTTCAGCTTTTCTGCCACCAGCCTCTAAAATTCCATCCCAGAGTCCCTCTGCCTCACCCCTCCCTTGCCTCTCAACAAGGTCCATCTCGAATTTCCTGTTTGATTGTGCTTTCGGACATCCTCCCCGGACTTATCCTCCAACCTCTTGATTCCAATCCCCAACTCGGGTGCAAACACTTAACTGTTCAGCACCTTGGGACATCCTTCTGACGTGAAAGGCACCATACAAATGTAATTTTGTTGCTGTGTTAGGCATCGGCTTGCCTCGGTCACTACACTTAACTGAAAATCCTGTGAAACGCAGGGTCACGGGATC